ATTGGAGATCCTTAAAATTGCTTCCTATCCATATTGAGGACCGCGACGCCCCTGGCATCGTCGAAGAGACGAAGTACTGGGTGACCACTGCCGAGACTCGCACAGATACCCTGGACATCTCGCTACCTAGTTGGCATATATAATGTGTTGGAGCATCATGAGCAAGGCTTTCCAGTCTTGACAACGTGTAGCCAAGGCAGGAGCATTCCATGACGGTGAATGCCACGGCCTCCCCGGATGATATGTACAATATCATGAATGGCCCCGTTGATCCTTCCCTCCTTGCACGCCCCAAGGCCAGTTCAGGTCCGACGCCACTGTCAGGAGACGTCTTGCGTGCATACGATGGGTTCAGGGCAGGCCTCGAGAAGGCAGGAGGTGTTGAATCCTCAGCCCCTGCTGGTGCCTTGCTCTCATCTAGGACTAGTTTTTTTCTCGTTTCAAGGTAGCAACCAGTGAGATAATTGGTGCAAATGAGGGCCGAGGTAAAACCCTATGTTGTGTTACCCTTCTGTCGCCCACTTTGTGCCCACGTAAAATTCACCTTAAATCCCGAATCTTATAAAGCCCAATATATTAAGTATTTACAAACCCAAACCCAATGCTTATACTTGTACTCCCAAAGTGTATACCCACCTAATTGTAAACTCCAGGAACATGAAGCACCTAATTGAATGAAAGCTCACATAATCACATATATTCGACCCTAAACCCGAACCTTTAAGCTTTCCACCCAGCAACAAAAACCCGACAACCCCACAAAATGAAGATACCTAGCCCAACCCAGGATAGCTCAAAACTCCATAACCAGATGTAAGACTACCGCAGATCCTTCGCCCTCAACCCATAACTCTCAGGCAGAGGAGCCCGGAGTGTGGCCTCCAGGCGCACGAACAGGTCGTCCGGCAGCCGGGCAGGGCAGAAGCTGCCGCTCAACGAGGAAACCTTTCGTTCGGATGATGAGAAGCATGATCGCTGGAGTCACCTACTTGCATATAATGGCTCAACATGTGCACTCTCTTGAAAGCTGATGAAGCTGATGGGGCAGATATAAGTGTAACTATTTCAGGTGCTGAGATGAAGAAGGAGATTTCGACCATCTCCGGCATCCTCCTGGATCTGCCGGACGATGACCAGCTGAAGGAGGATTTGGGCCAGAGCCAGGCAAAGCTGACCAAGCTGGCCAGGAAGCATCTCGGCTCTGTGCCGCAGCAAGTCTAGAAGTCTACTACTTTCGTACATTGTCATAATTTTGGATGTCGTTGTCATGAGGTTCAAGACCGCTACGACGAGCGATGCGATGGACCCCCTGTGTCACAGGATCTGGGACACTGCCCCTGGCTTGCAATAGAACTAGCATGAATACAAATCCAAGTTATCCCTAAGCAGAAATGCCTAACGCCAGTGCACCTTAATGGCACCACTCAATCTACCCCTAATCTTCCTAAACCTGTAGCCTTAATAACCCTCAACACCGAAAACCTCAAACAACCCTTCACCGTTATCAACAAGCATTTAAGTCCGACCGAAAACACAGTTGTTTCCATGGTATCTGAGCAATCGGGTTCAACCCAATAATCAATACCCCCACATGGTTACTTTACTCCTAGGGTTTGGGTTATTATCTATGACAGGCTGGGAGGTTAGAAGCCCCAAGCGAAGATAAGCCGCTCAGCTGTTGCTAAGTATCCTATGTTGGCCCTGATTTGATCCCTAAACCCTAAACCCTAAACCGATCCCCCATATCCGAGGTCACCGAGCTGAAGATTTTAAAGGGCAAGGCCAAAGGCCTTATTGCCGAGCTCAAGAAGAAAGGGTGATGTGGCAGCATGTGCATTGACATAGCGGCCATGACAATGTGAGCTAGCATGCCGATGCTAGTTTTGATAATGTCGCACTAGCTGCATGTCCTCATATGCAGATACTTCATGGCATCTTGGACTCAATGAGTGTGTGATGTACGTGGCCTGGCCTATGTGCATCTGCCTGGGTACCTTCAGTTCTCTGCTGCTCATGCAGTGAGAGAAGCTAACCACGGCAATGAACATGCTGTGCTTTTGCGAAGAAGGGGCACCTCAGACCCTGCATGGTGCTCATTACCACGGCAATATGTATATGCTGTGCTTTAGATTTGCTCAAGGGGCACCTTAGACCCTGGTGCTCATGAGCAGTGTTCCAAGCTTGGGGGAAACCAATCGCGATTCCTGCTGTCTCGGAAAATATATTATGAGTCTTGCATAGACAGCCGCTCCGAAGCCTATATGATACCCCTCGATTTGACAATGAACTTCGCTTGCGCAGACGTGGAGCCAGCTTCGTCGTCGAGGAGGTTGACCACGCAGTTGGACAAGCGGAGCCTGGTTAGCAATGGTTTGTGATTCCTATGTCTAGCTAGGGGCTGTGGCCTGCCACTTGGGGTTGGGGTTGTGTTTTCCTCCGTTGATGCATAACGACTTAAATAGTGTTTTTCCTCGAGCAGTTCATGTTCATCGACCCCCAATGAACCCTAGCTGAAACGAGCTAAGGCTTGCTGTAGCTGTTTGCGAAGGACAATCCTCCATCACCCTTGGGTGTGAGCTTGGTGCCATGGCTAAAACTTATTGTAGAAAGGTTTCGAGCCTATTCTGTAGGGTATGTTGCAGGTGTCATGCCTCTGTGTAAACCTCCGGAGGTGATATCTATGGTAGCAATGCCCTGGCTGGTTTTGAGTCGCGGGCTCTGCGCGAAAACGAATTCCATCAAAGAATCAGAGCTCTGGGTGTTGCTCATCAGTTCGATGTGTCGTGGAAGAACATACCGGTGCTGAAAGAGACACCTGGAGAAGCTGGTTTTATGGCTATCGAGCCCTGGCCTGTGATTCTGCCCAGCACCATTGCCCCCTACCAGCATTACGGGGCTCCTATGAAGATACCATTTATGTAGATAGAGTGTACTATACCTACTTACTAGGCTTCTGTTTTGGAACAGTTCCTATGCGCAGACATTCTTAATTACCTGAAACTGCAAAACCACATCATATAAGCCCGAATGCGAGGTTAGAACGCTGCTATCCACTGGATATTCATCCGCTTTGGGGCCTTTGGAACACCTGGAGCAGTATTGGGCAAAAATGGCCGGGCAGCTGCAGTCGCCACCTCCGGCATCGAAGTGGGAGACCACCATTCCTTACTGTTTGTGGGGGGATGAGGGAACCATCAAGAATTCTACATCATGGATGCTTGGAACTCTGTGGCTAGTCGAAGTCTAACAGTGGAATAAACCTTTCCCGATCTTATCGAGATTGTCTTAGTTGCAGGTATTTCCACCTGTGCTTTTTGGTATGTTTGTTTCCTAGCCAAGGATGTTCGACTTGTCGCCATACCGGACCAACAGCAAGGCTTCAAGATATCTCATGTATTCGCTCCCTACCTATGTCTACTGGTTTGAGGAACCAGATCACATCAATGTCACATTGCAAGCAATACTACAAGTACTGGTTGATGATTTGAACAAACTGGCCACCTCTGGATTGCAGATTGGGGACAAAGTTTCTTGATGCAACTCCTGCAGGATGTTATCAGCTCTCCAGTAAGAACATAAACATATGCAAACATACAAGTTTATGTGTTTGTGTGTATATACGTATGTACCCACATCTATCTATATCTTTATCTATATCTATATCT